CAAACCTGGAGACAAATGACTGATCTGAAGGTCAGTTCAGGCCACGAAGAAGGATGTTTCATGACAGTGCAGCATTTACTTGGTGTACAGTAACTTTCCAAATGGATTATATAAAGATGAACTATTAGAAGTTCACTTCGGCCGAAGGGAGGCAGAAGATTAAATAAAAAGTACAACCTGAGCTGCTTTCACAGCTTTGGCAGGAATCGCAAACGTGGAGAAGACACGCAAGACAGTGCAAATGACAGTGTGGAGGGGAACAGGCCAGAGGCCGGGCCGTGCTGGAAGCTGGAGTCCTGGGAAGTGATGACCTGCATGGAAGGCTGGAAAGGGGGACCACGGAAAGGGCCTGGACCACGGGCTGGGGAGTTCATTGCATGAAATAACGAATTTTTTTGTAACAACATAGACGTATATTGAGTTTCCCACTGGTCATGGGACTGCTCTCCGTTGCCTCTGATTCCGTGTTCCAACAGTCACTTGCAGGGCAGAAGTGGAGGGTGCTCAGGGCATTTACGGTGCAGGACCATGAATGGTTCAGCACAGTGATGCTCCAGGGACGAGTCCTTCAGACCATGGCTCTCAGAGATGATTAGTCAGAATTCTTTTGCCGCTTGAATATGTCACTTTGTTTTTCAGAGTGAGGAAGAGACCCCCAATGGGCCGGCTTTCACCCCTTACACCTTTACCACGGACTGGTGTGTGGCAGGCGCCGCACGAGGCCCTGGGGGGGGCACAGGTAGATCAGACACATTCTGGTGGGGGAGACACATAATTAGGAGATAATCCCAGCACAATGTATAAATGCAAAGATTGCCGAATGTGTGGGTGAGGGGGGTACAGAGTCAGGAACCTGATCCAGCACCAGAGTTGGGGGGTGGCTTTCCTACAGCTACTGTTTTCTAAGCCAAGTGATTAAGGACAAGCGGGAGATGGCAGGTAAAAAGGCAAGGCGCGGAGGGAGAGGACATTCCAGGCAGAAGGGAGAACATTAGGGAAGCCCCAAAATGTGACTTGAAGAAGGGAGAGATCAACCGTCTTTCATGCAATGTGGTGGTCCACCAGGTGGGACAGAGTAAAGGCCAGTTGGCTTGGCAAGTGGGAGGGCAAGGGGGGGGGAAGAGTGGCAAATGGGAAATAGGGACAGAACATGTTGGCTGTGAATATTTCATTAAGAAACAAAGTGAAGTAGTCATGTGTAGGAAGGGACAACAGAGAGGAAACTTCATTCCTTCTTCTTTGAGTGGGAAAGATTTAGAAAAAGTTTCTGTCTTATAAGAAAGAACTTATGGAGAGGAAGAAGTTGTAACAGCAGGAGAGAAAGCAGATATTTGATGGGTCCAAGTCCAAAAAGGAGACATGTGGACTAGATACCAAGAGTTCAAGAGGAACAGCTTGGTCTAGAACAGCAAAAGAAGCAAACAAAAAGCTCATCTTTTCCATCTTTTGTGAGACTGTAGGCAAGCAGGTGAGCGCATGAAAGTTTTTGTAGGTGGAAACAAGCTGAAAGCTTGCACCGAATAGTCCCAGGTTTTTAAAACGTGTAGAAATGGAGGCCACACAGTGAGGGGTAGAGGAAAACGTTAAACCTTTCTGGAGGGTTGTGAAGCAGTGAAAATGCTACCTAAGGGGGGCTGAGCAAAGACAAGCTGCAGTTCTGAAAACCAGCTGAGGAAGACCACGGATTCATGTCAGCACCCAGTGAAACCACTGGAAGATGTTTGAGGAGTGGAGTATCGGAAGGGAAAGGCAGACTGCAGTATTCATGCAGGGTTGAAGCTTTGCCGCTTAAGCATAGCACAAGTCCAGGAAGGGACGCAAGGCAGCTGGGGGTGCAGGCGCGTCGGGAGTGTCTAAGAACCTCCCCAGAAACAAGCTCAGGAAGCAAACGATGACTCTGTCTCCTTGCTCATCCCAGTGAATCTCAGGGGAAAGAAATATTCTCAGAAGAAATCGTGCATGTCTTACAATCATTATTTAACAGATGAGGTTGCATTTTTATATTTGCTCCAATTCACAATCACACTTGACTTTCAATGTCTCCTTGACCTTGTCCTGGGGTCGTGATCAGCTTAACATTTTGGAAGCTCCATAATCATTGGATGGCCTTTCATAGTGTCAGGCATTTCCCTGGCAACCTGGGGTAGCATGGTCACTATTTACTGTTAACAAAGAAGGAGGGGACATTCCCCAAGACCGGCTGATGGGAGACCATCCAGCTCCAGACAGAAATGACAGAAGAAAGACTGGGAAGTCACTTAACAAACGAGCATCTGAAACACGTGGGGAAAAGTGAACCTGGTTTCCCACCCTTCTCCAAAAAATATACCCATACGAGTACAGCAAGAGAGGTAAAAAGATTATTTTTAAAAAAGGAGAAAATTTTACCCTTTGTGACAGCATGGATGTACCTAGAGAAAGTTTGAATGCATCTGTCAGGCATTTGAAATTTGGGAGGGAACAGAAGGAAGATTCCATGAAGGTGGAGAAAGCAAGGGGTGGATTAGATGACAGGATAGTGATTATGTTCTCTCTTCAGGGTGGTTACGCCTATTTCAAAGGTGTGTCCCCTAGATGAGTAAAACCAGTAGACAGGGCTTGCTCGGGGCAAAGATAACCCTTTCACTGAAGAAGTTACAGGCCTGGAGCGTGACTACATTCAGATCACGCTGTGAGGCTACTTTTCATAAAGTCCCTTTTTCTTCTACCTAATGAATGGTGTCAAAATTAGATGATAACTTCTTGAGAGCTGTGGCTTTTCTCTTTTTAATTTAAAACCTAGATCAAGCACTATTTCTGCTGTGAATTCTTTCCCCCTCCCTTTTTATATACATTTATATACTTTTTCTATATTTAACACAGATGTGCTTATCCCATTGTATTGAAAATGGTTGTTTCTGATGTTTATCTTTTCTATTAAGCTGTAAGCAAGGCAGGGAAACTGATAGCATAGAGGTCAAGCAGCCAAACTGCCTGGGTTTAAATACCAGCTTTGTCGTTTACCAGCAGCACGACCTTGGGCCAGTCACTTCCCCTCCAAGATGCCGGAAATAATAGTGCTGACCTCACAGAGCCGCTGTGAGGACTGAACGAGCTAAAACGTGTAAAATGCTTATCAGGCAGTAAGCAATCTGAGAAGCATTTGGAAAACACAGTGATTAGAGCTTCCGACCCACTGAACAGTCAGAAATTCTCATGTAACTTCTGACACCCCCAAAACTTAACTACTCATAACCCATTGCTGGCAGGGAGGTTTACAGATAATATAAACTGTCAAGTAACACAAATTTTATAATGTTATATGTATTGTATCCTGTATTCTCAGAACAAAGTAAGGTAGAGAAAAAACTTTATTAGGAAATCATAAGGAAGAGAAAATGCATTTATGATACTACACAAGCTTATAGAGTCTGTTTGCAAGATGAAACCGTCTGTCAGTACCTACATCTACACTGCCTTATATGATACCAAACAGTGTAGATATTGTACACTTAGTAACACTAGACATAAAAAATGAGGAGATAATATGAAACAATTCACATTTGTTTATAGCTTTAACAATTCATGCAGTGATAATGAGGAAGCAACAATATTATTATTGCTTTATGCTTGCCTTATGCAACCAATGTGATATGATAGATTCACTGTAGTAAGGACATCTCCAAACATCTTACTGGTATATTTACTGAAAGAAAAATCATCTGTAAGTGGTCCCATGCAGTCCAGCCTCACTTTGTTGAAGGGTCGACTGTACTGTATTTTATTGCCCTTCGAATTTTTCTTGACAAGAGCAATGTTTAAACTAAGCATGATTGCTGAATAAATAAATGAAAAAAATGACAGGAAATGTATAGGATGCTTCTTTCTAGAAGATTCTGGAGTCAAAGATGGGCCACCATGTTACCCATAGTTTTCCCACAGCAAATAACATGAGGTTTTTAACAGCTGGCCAGCAAGTATTGGTGGAGCATGCTTTGGAAATAGTAACGCGGTGATTGGCGGATTGAGAACAATGCAAATATAGATTGTGAAATGAGTTAGGCTTGTATCAAACACACGGTTACACAAGATTTTACCTTAAGGTTCGGGGATGATTCCTCTTTTGTTCTGAAGCTTCTGATTGGGAAGGTTATTTAATATGCAAGGTTGGTTTTAGCCAGCCCCTAGCTTTCTAGTAATGCGGGGGAAGTTAGAGTCAACCCGGATCACAGAAGGAGGCAGGGGCGTGCAGCAGGAGCAGAATCTGGCCACGGAGAAGGCTCTGTGGCCCCACAGGGTGGCTGCGGACCCAAGACCCACCCCTGCGTCAGACCTGGTGCACCTGGGCTCTGAGCCCCGGAGGAGGGCTCCCACCACGTGGAGGCTGTGCCCAGGATGAGTCAACCGAGGACTTTGAAAAATCAGATTAAAAAAAGAAACAGAGCCCTTTGGGACAGAGTACGGTAATCAGGTAGGTAAGGGGCTATTTCACGGCCCAGCAACCACGCACGTTCCCGTCAGCAACTGCGGCGCAGAAAAGCAGGGGACCTGTTTGCTCAGCTAGGAATGCTTACACTGGCCTCTTCCCCTCCCTCCCTGCTTTGTCACTCAACTCACCTAATTCCACGTTGGAGAGGGTTTTTTTTTCTTCTCCCCTCGGCTTTTTAAAATAACATCGGCAGAGCGGCTAATGAGGCAGTGGAAAAGCAAGCTGGTCCGTTCTGGGTTGCTAATGACTCCGTTCCCGGGAGCCTAATCAAAGATTTGTACATTTAATTGCTGTCAAGTCAGCTCCAACCACCTGCCATTTCTGCAGCACCTGAGCTCAGTAGCCCTCACCCCCGCAATGGTTCTGAGCTAATCCATCATGTTCCTGAAGGCCAGGAAGCCAGGCTGCTGGGCAACCCTGAGTGGGGTGTACCCAGAAGGGCAGAGACCAGCAGGCCTTCAGGAGACCTGTTGCTGACCTAATGGGGTCAGCGCTGAAGGGGCCTTCTCTCCCCCCAGGGTCAGATTCTCCCATCCTAGTGGGAGGAAAGGGTGGGAGTGAGGAGGATGAGGGTGTTCAAAGGGACACAGGAGGGGAGAAGGTGGCATCTGATTGAATTCTTTTGGATGTTTATTTAGCCTTTGTTCTGTTTGTAATAGAAGTTCTTTAAACTCATGTCCTGCACTCTAACTTCATTTTCCCCTGTGACAGGTACATCAGTATACACCAAGACTGTCTGATTTTTTTAGATAAGTCTGCAGAGCAAGGTGGCCCCAAATACCCCAGAAGACTTACTAGAACCAAGCTGGGCGGCCCCCCTCGGGTTTCTGAATCAGTCTGTCAAGGACATGGGCAAGGTCTGATGATTTGCGTGTCTAACAAGTTCCCAGATGATCCTTTCCCCACTGGACTGGGGGAACAATCTGAAAGCCTCTCAGAAATGCCAATCTGACTGTTAAGGTAGATGTAATTGTCATTGACCGAGAACTTGATTGGCTGTGTCTGCCTGCTAGTAACTGATCTGGCCATAGGAAAGAGGCAGGGACCCTGAGAATATATGGGAGAAGAAGGGATTGCTCCTTTTTATTCCCTTCCATCACAGGCCCAGATACCACGTGTAAAGGAAGGAGACATAACAGGCAAAGTCACTGACTGGGCAGGTACTGTATTCTGACCTACAGACAAATAGCCCTTCCCATCCCAGAATTCCTTTAGTCAGAATATGGCTACTTGTTTGGGAATTCACTCTCCCTCAGGGTGACCAACCATCCCAGTCTTTCCAGTTTAAAAACATAGACTTCTGGCTAAACCCGGACACTGTTCACCCTACCTCCCCTTTGGTTTAGCAGAATCTAGGTCAAAAAGGTCATACTGTTGATTCAGATGTACAAATATAATGAAGGTAAATATTGGTTCAGGCTCTGCACTGCCCCCCCCCCCCGTACCCCTGCCAAGAAAAGAGGGAGATAAGGTGTGTGGGCAGGTCCGTCTCCATTTATGATCCCCAGCTTGTCATCGCCAAGCTCTAGACAACTTTGGAACTGAACCCATTTTTCTTTGTTGACTAATAGTGACATTTTCTTTCCTCTTTCTTTATGGAAGAAACTTGCTGAACTTGAAGTAATTTTTAAAAATAAATTAGAAGAGCCAAATACCTCCACCGTTTCATGGCAACCTATAGTTTCTCCTTGACCTTGACCCTGAGTTTCTAGCTTGGTATTTAATGACCAACCAGTTGATCTGGTGAAGAGGCCACAGTGATAGCATAGTGACGAACTACGTCCTACAGCTTTCTGTTAATTGTTGTTTTCTTGTGTTTTTCTTCTTCCACTCCACACCGTTGTCACCGTGTTCCAGCCAAACACACACTTGTTTTGATTTCTTCCTTACTGCTTAGTCTATTTATATCAGGGGACCCTGGAAAGTGTGCAAGATAACCTCACTAGAAAGCTAAATTATTTCTAAAGAGAAACACCATCTGATCTGCCAACCCCATGGAAAAATATTAACTGTTATTCATTTGCCGCCCTAAATCTTTCCCCAGAGTGCTTGAAATCACAGAGATGAGCTGCCCTCGCTCCTTATTCACCGTTGGAATTTATGTCTAAATACATTGGAGACCTGGGAAAATAGAACAAAAAAGTCATTGCAATCTATCCAACGAGACCGAGGAGGGCAAAGGTGTGCCTGTGCATGGGTGTATATTTTCATGGAAAAATGAAACTGGCAGCCTGCTCAGTGGAAAAGTCGATGCTTTCTGGGTCGAGATTTTCCCAGGAGTAAAAATGCCCCAATCAGGGGCTTCCTGGTTTCGTCACTTTCTGCTCCTCTTTTGAGGCTGCTCTGGGCACCCTTCTCCAGGACTGGCCTTCCTGACTCCACCCCCAGAGTTCCCTGGAGCCCTCCAAGCTGCATTTATTCTGCACCCATGTTTACCCTTCTAACATAGCCATGGAGTCATCTGGGTGTGTATTTGTCTCCCAATTCGGCTGCAAACCCTTCCAGGTCAAGGTGCAGGATCCAGTCATGGCGGGCACCTTGTCACCTCAGGCTGGCCTTGGCACCCGGAATGTGTTTGTTGACTGAATGACTGTTATGCTTGGAGCAGTTTTAGTGATTCCAAGCACAACTCAGTCATTTGTATAAAATTTATTGTGTTTATTTTAATATTGTAAATGGGAAGTGGGCCACGTCCAGAGATTCTCAGTGTTCCACCCTGTGACAGGCATTCTGGGCGCAGGCCTACCTGAAGGTTAAATTGGCCACAACTTGAGAGATAGGATATTGAACATGAGGCGGGAAAGACGATTGGTTTGCCTGATGTCACTCATAGTTCATACACACTTGCCTCACTCCCACTGGTCCCATAGAACCCAGAGCTGCAGGAAGTAAACCGATCAGGAAGATCGTCCCTCTTGCTGCCTACACCCCACCCCCGGCCTCTTTCCCGCAGAAGCTGGAAGGCAGCGACAGTCGGAGAGACAGATGTTTCTTCTCACCCTATACGCCTTTGCCAGGGATGATGTTCAAAACGGTGCCTTTGTGCCCTCGGAGAGAGGTCTTGGCCCAGCTCAGCCTTTCAGGCTCACTGCTTCTGCATTAATCTCACCTAAATACTATGGTAAACGGCAGAAGGAACGGAGAATGTTTTCGTCTGGAAACCCTCACTTTGTTGCAGGTGTGAAGATAGAACTATGTGAAGACCACATGTTTAGAAACTGAGTCATATTTAAAATGCACTGGAGAGGGTGCCTTCAAAGTCGGCCGTTTAAGGGAGATATTTATACTATCTCAGTCACGTCTTCACTAACAGAGTTTCAATCCATAATTTCTCTCCTGTGAAGATCCAAGTTGTCACAAATGTCGCAAACTGAGTTTGCTCCAAGCCTTTAAGCACAAGAACTGCTCGAGGTCGGCTGCACATAACAGAGAAGTGGATGAAGGTCGATGTGCTGGGAGGCCTCGAGGGCACGTGGGCTTCCCAGCTTCAGCTTTTCCTCCACCGTCTGTCTCTAGAGACCCTCCTCCCACCCCACCTCTCTGCCCCTCCCTCCTGGCTCCTCCCCAACCTGGATGAACGAAGGAAAGAACTGAACGAACAAAGGAGAGACCTCCCAAACAGGACTCCCTTCTTCAGAAGGGGTGGGCCCGCTGCTAGGGTTTGATGAGGAAGGTTGAGACATAGAAAGAGAAGAAGAGAAAAGGGGAACGGTTTCCTGGGCCAGAAAGCAGCAGGGCAGAGTTCAGCCACCTGGGACCTACGTCCGGGCGGAGAGGGGACTCAGTGTGACGTGTGACGGTGCACACACAGCCCTTGTCACAGTCTGTTCCACTTTTCCCTCCACACCAACCCTGTGGTCAACGCTACCAGGCCTCCACTTCTCACACAGGCCTGTGGAACGCTGGAAGGTGTTCAAACAGAGGCGCGGTATAAGGGGCCATCTACTCTGTGTGACATTGCAGAAGCACTCGGAGCCCGATTTGTGCCAGAAAGAGAGGAGAGAGTCGAGAGGATATTCAGCTTATCAGCTGCCACTGCAAGAGTTTCCTGTTACACACTTCCCAACATTCTGACCCTTCCGGTGTGACGATTCCCAAGGCTGTTCCTGTACCGAACCCAAACCTTGCACACTCCATGTCTCCTGTGCAATGTAGGGCCAGGATCCACGTGACCAGGAAGGTGGGTGACGCTGTGATTTATTGCCCATTCTTTCATATGGGAGAGCCCAGTGGTTTCAGGCACAACAACAGTGCTCTCTGCGATGCCCGCCCCGTGAAGACAAATCCAACCACCGTGCACCTGCATTGGGTCCCCGAGGGGGCATGCAAGTCACTTGGATGCATGGCTGGCATGGAAAATGTCAGGCAGCTCCTCTCAAAACTCTAAATATCCAGGTGTTTTCAGTAGTGTAGTCAAAACACCTGAGTACTGTCCTGAACCACACAGCTGTGAATCAGATGTTGATTTCCTGCAGCCACAGAAGGGCAACTCTGGACAACGTCCTGACATTTACTTTATGCCTCTTTTTAATTTATTTTTTTAAATTACTTCCTTAATCCTACCCTGGGAATATGTTTATCAGTTTGAGAGAGACAGAGAGAGAGAGAAACATTGGTTGCTTGCCCTGCATGCCCCGACCAGGAATCAAACCTGTGACCTTTTGGTGTTTGGGACAACACTCCAACCAACTGAGTCACCAGGCCAGGGCTGTGTCTCTTCTCTAGAAATTGATTCTGATTTTTATCTTTGCCATGAAAGAAAAGCTTTTGACCTCGACCAGTCTTTCTCCTTATTTTGTTGACTGACTCATCTCAAAGAAGAAGAGTTAAGAACTGTTTAACCACCACGACCACCAATAAACAGCAAAACAAGTGTGAAGTCAGAAGCCCCAGAGCCCAACCCACAACCTTGCTGTGGTCTGGCCAAGCCGCATCCCTCCAACCTCAGCCTGTTCACCTGCGCACTGGTGTGATAACCCATCTTGGAAACTGCTTAGGAGAAGTCAGCGAGGTGCTGTGTGAAGCAATTGGAAACTATGTGGACCTCACATCACACTTCTGCTCATAGACCATCTAGGTATCTGCTCTCCAACCTGGAAGAGAAGAAGCAATGAAGGACATGCACCCAGAGACACCGAGCTTGGCTCTCACTCTAGTACCTCTGTCATCCAGACACAATGGAGCTGAGGGTTCTAGAAGTTGGCGTGTTGGAAATGCTGTACCCCCAAGGGCCTTCTGTGGCCTCTCGGGACAGTAAATGGCTTGCCCTGAGGGTGAATTCTGCTCAGTCCTGACCCCGTTTGGCTGTCCCTTTCATCGTTCTCGATTAAAGACATCTCTCTGAACACTTAGAGGGTTAGGGGTACCGTGACATCGCTTAGTTTTTTGGTTTTCTTTCTTTCCTTCCTTCCTTTACAAAAAAGAACATAAAAATTATTTTTGGTGAAGTCTATTGAGGTCTGACATACATCTACTAAAATTCTTCTTTTTTAGTGAACCGTTCTATGAGTTTTGACAAACACGTGTTCTCATGCAACCACCACCATGATGAGCCTACAGAACTGTTCCATCACCTTTCCAAATGCCTCTCTCCCATGTGTGGTCAACCTCTCCCCTTAATCCGGCCCCTGGCAATCACTGATGGAATTTCTGTCTCTGCAGTTCGGCCTTTCCAGAATGTTATGCGAAGATCATCCTGCAGTTTGCCGCCCTTTGTGTCTGGCTTCTTTCACTTAGCAAGATGCATTTGACACCTGTCCATGTTGTTACAGGTATCGGTATTGCTGCAGCCAGGAACCCAATGCAGGGACGCACCACAGTTTCTATGTCCATTCACCGGCGGACAGACACTCCACGCTTTAGTGATTACAAGTAAAGGCCTCAACACTTGTGAAGTATTTTATACGTATAGACCATTAGATATTTTGCTTTAAAAGATGCATTTAAGTTTGGCCCAGGTGAACAGAGACTGAGAGACTTGGGGGACCCCTGGGGAGAGGAGATGGTACGTTTCCCGCATCAGCCCACCAGGCCCAGCCCAGGCCCACCAGGGGCTAGTTGGAGCAAGACGCTGTCACTGTTTTCACTGAGGACACTTGTCGCACAGAAATAAAATTAACTCGATTTTTCTGAGCCCCTGGGGAAGAACATGAGGACACGATGACAGCCACCAATTTAGTGGGCCCACGACTGCGTCGGTGGTTAAAGTAATATTTCCATCGATCGGGCCAATACCCCAGCAGGTCATCTGTACACACCCGAGGGATTCTTTTTCAAATCACAGGCCACTGATCTGGAGCAGGTAAGGAAAAGTAGAGGCTGTGGGTCAACTGCATACTAGCAAACTCCTCAGGGTTGCTCGGGTTGAGTAAACTTTCTTTTTGGCTCATTTAGGGGGAAATCCATGTTTCTCAGTTGAAATCGTGTTATTGGGATCTCTACTGGGCACAGGATATCAAGGTAATTATCAACCCCTATGGAGAATTTCAGGCTTAGCGCCAGTTCTACCAGTTTTCTCCTTGCACCCATCACAAGAAGGAGTTAGAGAGGAGTTACAGTCACACCAGTAAGAAAGCTCAGGTCCCCCTGCGATCTGATCTCACGAACTCTCCCCCAACATTGTACCTTCCCACCCTGGGGCCTCTGGGTTCTCTAACTCTTCAGTGTTTTCATCCACCCAGGAGACAGTGATTGTGTGCCCACCTGGTGCCCACACTCAGACGAGGGGGGAGCTCACAGAGAGGACCGTGTTCCAGAATAAGCTGACCTCTATCATGTAGACGCCAATATGAATGTGCTTCATGGCAGAGGGTTCCACATTCGGTTCTGGACAATTTTTCAGGATCAGCAGACTGAAGAAGAATGTGCAGCTAAAACGCAGTGTTGTAAAAGTGTGAGTCCTGTACTCCACTCTTCTAATTATGTGGGGGGGGGCAAGCAGATCTGAAGTGTTATTTCAGTGGGGGGACGTGTTTGCAGTTCCGAACTAACTTACAAACACAGCCTGAATGCAGCCCGTGCACAATGAGGCGTTAGACACGATCAAAGGCAATGCTTTACCCCACGGCTGGGTTTGTTAGTATCCATTGGGTCATCCAAAGTTCACGTGTCATCAGTACCACTAACTGGCATTGAGACCCCAACGATATTAATAACAGTAATAACAATACCAATACCAGTGAGAAGAGCTAACTCCCCTTGGGGGAAATGGATATTAGAATGGACACCAAATTCACCAGGGGTACTAACTTGCCTCCTTCCTGTGTTCAGCAGGATAGGAGTTAGGGAGGGCATGAACCCAGACTAGACTCCACACGACTGTTTTCTAGGTGTCATTGAGCAAGCCATATGATCTCTTTAAGCTGTGTGTCTTTATCTGAAAATGGGATGGTTAATAGGGCTACTTCATAACCCTGTTATACGAATTACCTGAAATAATGAACCTGTTTAACCTAGTGCCTGGTATGTAGCAAGTACAAAATAAATATTAGCTGCTGCTGTTATTATTATTGTTGTCTTTGTGTGTGTGTATAGTCAGACTGAATAACTTTGAAAGGAAGTGAGTGAAGAATTATGATTTTCTATTTCAAGTGACCCAGTCAGTGGTTGGTGGAGATAATCCTAGTTTCCTCGGTTTGAGAAAGAAACAGACCTGGACAAAAGAGGGTAATCTCACCCCTCAAGGCTCATGTAGCCTCAAACAAAACCAATATTCCTATTCCCGTGTGAATTTTATTTTTTCAAAGCAATAAAAACTGATTTTCAGACAGGAAAGGGTCAAACTAACATGAAACTGGACAGACAATGCAATATGACCGGACAATATAAACATGTCCAGAGAATCGTGGAGAATGGAAAAGATGCAGGACTCCAGAAACAAGAAAACGTCTTCATTTTTAAAACTCTAGACCTTTCATGTCACTGGCCTGAAAGATCTAGAAATACTAGAAGGGTGGACAAATACAAAAAGTTTAAATTTAATAGAAGTCAACATAATGCTGAGTCCCTAAGACACAAAACTCAATAGACCAAGAGTCCTAATGAAGTCCCTCTCATTTGGGCTGGAAGACAGCATAGCCAACCTTCCAACCCCTTTCCAACTTTAAGATTCTGTAAAGCTAAGGAAGCAGAAATAAAAAGGCAATTTGTTGTTGACAGATTTTAAATGCCACTGTGACATATACCATGAAATAAAAACAAGTAGAAAAGAAGAATGGTAAGTGCACAGTTTTTTATGTGCGTACTGACAGCTGTTTATTTACTTTCCATACATTTTTCTTGAGGCTGTTTGTATCCAGAAATATAGTGGCTGTTTTAAAAAGAATTGACATTCAGTAGTTAGCAATCTTGTCCACGTCGGGGACTCCGACATAGCCCACTCTACCTGTGTAGACCTCTACGTGTGTGTGTGTGTGTGTTGGAATGAGATTGTATGTGTACATCAAGAGGGAGGAACCATGATTTGTAACTCAGCGATTACTAGTTTTTATTTAGTGCATTCTCTACTCTATTACCGCAGAGCAGTCATCTGTAAGTCTTTTGCAAGGCGCGGATTCTGGGCAGAGTTAAATATCAATCTAAGTATAACATCAGTATGTAAACAGACTGATGAATTGCTAGATTGCTAGGATATGAACCATATGGAACCGCACATAACACTCCACGGAGCAGTGGATAATTTTAGCATTCCGTGAAAACCACGGACAGGAGACAGCTACCAGCTGATTCAACGCCCCAGCCTGCCCTGTTCTCTTTTTCTCTCAAGGCCACCTGGGGCCGTGAGCATTTTGAACATTAAAAATGTTACTTGCTAGGGTGTTTCCCTCCTAAGGCAAGATGGATGGACTCTGTGTGCCAGAAAAGATTGTGGGGGAAGACGGGGACAGATCGTTACTCTGAGGGCCAACTCTATTGTCTGTCTCTTCAAATCTTCTATGTATACGATGAAGGTTCTGAAGAGTTTAGGTCTTCAAAGGGGTGTACGATGCAAAAAAAAATTGTTACTTTTTAAGTGGTTCCTTTGGGGCTAGAATCCAGATTTCCCTTCTCTCATCCCAAGGTCTTTTTACAAAATTCCACTGGTGTCACGTACTAACTCCAGTGAGGGCACAATGTACTTTCTACCTCTTTCTACATTGCTACAGTTGGGAGGGACTCTCTCCTTCCCTCTTCTAGTTGCAGAAGTGACGCTGCTGCTAATGCAGGGCTGGGAGTGGGGGGGCGGGCAGATGTCGGGATGGACTTGAGGCATCCTGGGGATTCTTTTTTAATTTAAGGAATTTTAGGCTAAATCTGCACAGAATAGAGCAGGAAACCAAACAATTTTCAGCTGCATTTTAAGCACCAAAGGCAGCCAGTGTGGACAAAGGCTTCACTGACTGGGGTTCTGCAAATCTGACATGCGTTACGGAAGAAGAGGAAGCTTTCTGTGGAGTGCTCCGAGATGCACCACACAGAGGGGCGGGGAAGGAGGTTCTCAGAAAGGGCTCCGAGGCCTGCCATCAGCCAGCCAAGAAGGCTGGGGGTGAATACAACCGCCGTGCCAAGTTGACGCAGCCCTGACCTCATTCGGCCTGTGGTCTCTGAGCCCAGAGGGAACAGGGCTGTGCCCACACGCCAGGCCTTCCCCTTCGAGTCCACGGACCTGTTGCCAGAGCTGCACTGCAGCCAGCCTTTGATCAAGCCGCGGGCTTCCTCTTAGACTCTCAGAAGAGCAAGGGGAGGACGGCCCTGGGGGAAGGCTGGCGCTGCCACGTCCTGAGGGCAGGAGAAGTGGTCCTAGGGCCTGGCTGGGCTCAGGAGCTGCTGGGCTGGGGGCAGCCTCTGCACACCTGGCTCCATGCTGGCCTCCTTGGTCTCAGAGAGGCTCTGGGAGGGAGACAGGGACCGGAGCAAGAACCATCATTTTGCTGCCTTTCCTACTCCATTCTTGTGGAATATGGACCCTTTTCATGGTGCTTTAAAGAAATAAATCACAGGGCCCTAAGGTCAAGTGCATGGACTATAACAACTGGCTCTTGCCATTGACTATGGTAATTTTTCTAACTTCATCAGGTTTTTATCCCAAGCGCATCTCTTGAAACTACTTTTGCTGCCCTTCCGATTCGCTCAACTCCCTGGTAAGAAGGCAGTGCCTTGGCCCACGTCATTCCGGGACAGGTGCAAAGAACAGGATCTGAAGGAGCAATCGTTTCCAGGAACAAGTATGTCAAACAGGGGTAGAGAATTGTCTGCATGTCACCTTGAGTGGTACCTAGTAGGGCTTGGTGTGAGGCATGTCTGAGGAGGTTTCAGTGAACTGAAAAAATTATAAACATGGAGGACAGAGTAGGCTCTGAGTTCAATGCATTGAGCAAAACGGACTGACTGCTGTCATGTGAAAGGATGAGCAATGGGGGAGAAGCAGGAGGAGGTGGAGGAATAGAAGGAAGAGGAGGAGGAGCAGGAGCAGGAGGGGAAGGGGAGCCGGAGCATAAGAACGTCCTGAATTTAGGGCGCTACGCCCCACCCCCTCCCTAAAGGAAGTTTCTCACTTTCAGTCCCTACCTGTGCACGTTGGCATTGCCTCATCACTGTGTGCTCCCGCCGTGGTCTAAAGTAACCCCAGTGATGTCAGCCGTTTCCCTAATTGTACAACCTTTGGCAAAAAGATCATGTGTTTGCTTATGCCTGACTCCTGGGGGCAGGTCCAGTTAGATAAAGCCCCTCTCAAGGCCATCTCCCCACTGATGACCTTTGGGCACTGCTGCTTAAATTTCCTGCTTTGAGGACTTCCTGGTTAAGTCCCCCCTATCACCAGGAAAACTTGACCTCTAGCATGCAAAGCAAGTCCACGGAGCAGAGGCAACGGAACTTTCTGACTTTAACGTCAGTCTGGCTTGGCTTGCCTTTGAAATGGAGCACTTGTGTTTTGAAACTGTTTACGAGCTCTCTGAGCGCTGACCTGCAAACACAGATATCAAGAACTTCTGGGGCCGGAGTGTCCAAATAACTAGGATAAGAACAATCCAGTTGACAATTATAAAACCTGGCACCAAGTGCTTGGGCCTTTGAGTTCTCCAATGGCGATCTTTCCTAGTCCTGGGCCCAGGGAAAGGAACCCAGGACTTAGACATCAAGTGCATTGGAGCGTTCACCTTGCTGTTTACCAGCTGTGAGGACTTGGGTCGGGAGGCTCAGCTTTGGGGTCATCCGATGTAATGGGGACATCTATTTCACAGGGCTTTCAAGAGGATTGAATGAAGTAATCAATACTTAGAAAGTGCTTCACAAGTTATTTTATCCCTGCCTCGCCATTTCCCAAATAAAGAAACTGGGGCCCGAGAAAGTTAAGTAACGCGTTCGACACAACATGGTTTGTATTATATTCTGGAATTTAGGTCAGAGTAGGCGGTCAAGAAACGCCCTTTAAAATCACACCAATGTCAGGTTACGATGCTCCCTCAGTGATTTGCCTGCTGGGCTAAAAGAACCGTGGTGTTCTTTAACATTTTCACCAATTATATTAGGCTCAATTTCCCTCTGTAAGACATCCTTGGAGACAAAAGGCAGAGAGGGCCCCTGTTGGGTTTATTCCATGACCTTGTAATATAAAAATTATAACAGAATTAACCCCAAATAGTAGATATCAACTAAGGAAAGCATGAAGAAATAGAGCCCCGAGCACAGTGTTTTGCAAATTCATGTTGATAGCGTGTTTAGGAAGGTCAGCTCTCTGCTGGTAGAGGGCCAGCAAATGCCTGGAAAACAAAACAGGCATTTATATCACTGTAAGTGTCCTCCTCTGGAGGGAAATAAACAAGCCCGGAGTTATGACAACGGCGCTGGAGTCAGCGTGACACTCGAGGAACCGCAGAGTCAGATCAGTTATTTTGGCAAACGGAGGTCTAGACACTCGCCACAGCGCCGGATGGTGTTTAGTCCAGCAAAAGGGTGTGATGATGTGTCTCTCAGATCAAGTTTTTCCCCTCACGAGGGCGTCATGTCAGGGCGCCACTGACACACACCAACCCCAACCCCGTCCTCCAAACGAGGTTGCTTCTCCCTGTCAGAAGCACATGTGAATACTGGCGCCTTGCCTTTCGGACTTGATCTCCAGCACAGCCGGGGGGTAATCAGAGCAGCTGTCACTGTTTGTGGTAGGTGTGGGGTGGGACTTGTGCACCCAGCAATGTGACTGGGTCGCCATGGGTCTTGAATACACAGTGGGTACCAGCTGTCACTGAAAACTTACCGAGTGGCAGACGCCATTCTAAGCACTTCAGCTGTGTAGACAGACACCTTTCTCTCGGGGGAGTTCGCCATAAGTGTGATGAGTACGTGAGGCTGCCACCCACTAGCCCAGTGTCCTGATGACGCTACCGAAGTGCTTTGGCCTGTTTCATCAGCTGGTGCATGGATGTCATAGTGGGGCTCACTCGTGGGGTTATTGTGAAGATCACCTGAGTGGATACACACAAAGCGTTTGGAACATCGCTGGCCTCTCCCAACGC